TTTTGGATGTTTACACCAAAAAGTCTCTAGTCTAAAAGGTATTTTATGAAGAGACCTATTTTTAGGAATCAATTCTATAAGAATAGGGTTATGGTCAGAGTGAGTTCTAGGCAGGTGGATTATTGAGCTTTTAGGGAAGGGTTCAATCCACACTTCATTTTCAAAAACTTTATCTAATCTTTCCATTATACGGCCTTTTTTATTATGATTGTTGTTTGTCCAAGTGCATTTACTACTTTTAAAGTCTATATCAAGCAAGTTATACTTATTGATTTTTGACCATATGTACCTAGCTCTACTATCTTTAATAGGTTTACCACTGAATTTTTTACTAGCGGCTAGAATATCATTAAAGTTATCTCCTACTAGCCAAGGCCCTTTATAAGAGTTGCTAATATTTTCTAGATGCTCTCACATTATATTTCTATTGTAGACACAAGTACTAGAATATATAGACGTGAAAAGCCAAGGTTTACGTATAGGAAGTACCTCTATGGTTGCATGAATTTCCTGGTTCCTAAATACTGCATTTTGAACATTGATTACTTCATCATTCCACATCATAACCATGCCTCCTGAATGACCCTCCGAAGGAACTTCAATCATCTTTGTGAACCCAAAGTCATTAAGCAAGGCTGCATGGTTAACCATTATTGTTTCCAACAGCGTCACCATGTAGGGCCTATGAGTATCAATCATTTCCCTAAAATTTCTCCTGAAATTTTCATTGTTCTCTCCCCTTATATTCCAAATTATAAAATTTGTAGCATGGTTCATTGATAGATTAACTTCTAGATTTGCCCTCTCTCCATTCTCCCTTACCCCCTCCCCCCCCAAAGGACAGGGTTTCTTCTCATCGAAGGTACTAGAATCATCGCTTTGTGGCCCACTGTTGGATCATGTGGTGGACGGATGTCCATCGAGCACTTATATAGGGCTAACGGGCAGCTGAGCACATGCCTCTCCGTGAAGAGAATTTTTTTTATTCCATCTAGGTTTGAGAGTTCTAGGACTTGCCCTAAGTTCAAGTTTGGAGGGACATCGTCCTCCTCCATTTCTGCTTCTACTGGACCGATTATTGGGTCTGCTTGGTGATGTTGTGGAGATACTAGAGGGGGTACCAGTGGGTTTGGAATCTCCTGGTTCCCCTGGTTGATGTCCCAAGGAAGAAAGGTGGGATTGAGATGGGTGTACATCTCCGAGGGGAAAAAGAGAAGGTCCAAGGGAGCATTTTGAGGGTTTATGGGATTGAACTGGGGTGGCATGCTCCATTGCTCTCTCATTACCTGAGCCCTTTGAGGGTTTAATGATGGTGTCATTGGATGAATGATGTTGTTTAGCCAAACTTGGTTTAGATAGTGGTTCATGGCTAACCCCATTCCTTCCGTTATGAGTTATGCTAGATATTGGGTGTTGTGGAGGATTACTATTGCCTCTTGACCGTTGATTAGGACCGTGAAGGATATTGCATGGCCCATGAGGCCTAGCTCCATCCAACTGGTAGGATGATAGTCTTGCATTTGAGGGGGTTGGGCATAAATTATCTGAGGGTGTTCCTGAGGGTGAAGGGGTGGAATATTTTCCATGTTGAGAGGTCTGTGTAGGCGTAAAATTTGAATTAGACGGTTCCTCCTTTGTAGGGATGATGGAATCCTTGGCATTTTGGATAGGATAAGGAGTATTTAATGAACTAAGAGTCGGCGTGGGGATGATGTTAATGCTGGGGAGGGGCAAATTGGTGGAAGAATCAATGATTGAGCATTCTAGTTTTGTGGAAGACGGGTTGAAGTTGTAGACTAATAATTGTAACTTGTAATTTTATTTTATACGGCACCGAGAGTTGGGGTGGGAAAGATCCAATTTCTCTAACTTTAATAAAAAAAATTCAGGTTCAAAGCCTAAGGATAAAAAAAATTCTGTAATAAAGAGTATTTCTTCGTTCAATGCACTTTATAAAGCGAGAATTCAGATTAATTGGCAACGAGTTTTGAAAGATAAATTTGACAAATGGTTATATAACTATGAATTTATTTTCACAAAAATCACAAAATTATATTTTATAACATGATAGTCACAAGACTATCACAAAACTTTCACCACCTAACACATAAAAGTCATCATTGTCAGAAATCCAATTTTTCGATTTAATAATTTTTTACTCCATAACTTTTTATTTTTTATTTTTAATCTAATAAAAACTGATCGAATTAAAAGAGGACCGACCCGACTCAAACCCATCTGCATAAATCAATCAATCAAACAATTAAAATGGTCAATACATTGGAAAGAAGATTTCAAAAGGTATTACTTCCGATTCGTTGATAACTAGTATTTCATCCGTCTTAATTTATGTAATGATGTTTGAATTTTGAGAGACAAATGAGTCTTTTCTCCAACAAAATTTTGTTAAGTATTTTTATATATTTTTAATTAATGGGATTACAAACCTTCATGGTGCTTTACATGTATCTATTAATTTTTATGGTGTTATACGTGTTGTATAGAATGTTGTTAAACAAGATGTTGTCGAAAGAGCTGTACATAGTCTTAAAATTTTGCAAGGTGCTACTGAAGTATTGAAAAAATGGGGCTAAAATAGTTAAAAGACATGTAAAAAAGTCAAGATCAAAGAAAAACTTGTTTAACTCTCGAAATTCAAATATCACCATATAAATTAGAAAGGAAGGAGTACTAATTATCGCTGCATCTGAAGTAAGATCTTGCATCTAAAGTAATGCCCTATATACATTCTTCCTAATTGAGTGACCTTTTAGTTGTTTGATTTATTGATATATGCAGATGGATTTTAGGTCGGGCCTGGACGGTCCTTTTTTAATTCTGTCAATATTTATTAGATTAAAAATAAAACTTAAAAATAAAACAACGACGACAATCTAGTGTATTCCCACAAACGGGGTTTGGGAGGATAGGATATACGCAGTCTTATCTCCGCCCAAACAGGCAGAGAGGCTATTTCCGGTAGACCCTCAACTAAAGAAAAAAGATGAAAGAAACACTGATAGCAAGTAATAACAGTACAGTATATATTAAAAACTGAGACTAAGATAGCAAAATAAAATATGAAAGAAGCACTAATAACAAGTAATACAATACAAGATATGTAGTAATAGCCATCTGAGGATAAAATAATGTCATACTAACACTAATACTACTGAACTAAGAAAGACAAAGGGAAACACTCGACTACCTACTATCCTTCTAGCCTAATTCTCAACTTTCACACTCTCCTATCAAGAGTCATGTCCTTGGTTAGCTCAAGTTGCATCATGTCCCGCCTGATCACCTCTCTCCAAGACTTCTTTGGCCTACCTCTACCCTTCCTCTGACCCCCCAAGGACAACTTCTCACACCTTCTGACTGGCATATATGTGCTTCTCCTTTTAACATGCCCAAACCATCGAAGCCTCGCCTCTCAGATCTTATCCTCAACTTGGGCTACTCCCATATTTACCCTAATAACTTCATTTTTAATTTTATCTAACCTAGTATGCCCACACATCCATCTCAACATCCTCATTTCAGCAGTTTTCATCTTCTAGACATGGAAGTTCTTAACTGGACAACACTCCATATAACATAGTCGGTCTAACTACTACTTTGTAGAACTTACCTTTAATTCTCAATGGCATATTCTTATCACACAAGACGCCGAAAGCGAGCATCCGTTTCATCCACGCTACTCCGATACGAGATGTGAAATCCTCGTCAATCTCCACATCACTCTGAGTTACAGACCACAAATACTTAAAACTCTCTTTCCTATGAATGACTTGAATATCAAGCCTCACATCAACGTTCGATTTCCTAGGAAACACCGTTGAACCTGCACTCCAAGTATTTTGTGTTGGTCTTACTCAACTTGAAACGTTTAGACTTAAGGGTATGTCTCAAGACCTCCAGTTTCTCGTTAACAATACCTAGCGGCTCATCAATCAAAACTATATCATCTACAAATAACATACGCCAGGGCACCTCCCCTTGAATGTGTCGCGACAATGCATCTGTTGCCAAGGAAAATAAATACGGGCTAAGTGTTGATCCTTAATGCAACCCCATCTGAACAGGAAAGTACTTCGAGTTTCCTCGTGTCGTCCTTACCGTATCTTAGCTCCCTCACACATGTCGTTGACCGGTCTAATATAGGCTACAAACACTCCTTTTGCCTCCAAACATCTCCAAAGGACCTCTCGCGGGATTTTATTGTAAGTTTTTTCTAGGTCATTGAACACTATATGCAAGTCCTTTACTGCTCCACCAATCTCCTCACAAGATGAATGCGCTTCCGTAATCGACCGTCCCGGCATGAAATTAAATTGGTTCGCGAAAATGGACACACTCCTTCTCATCCTCCCTTCTATTACGCTCTCCCAGACTTTCATCATATGGATTAGCAATTTTATACCCCTATAGTTGTTGCAGTTTTTGTAATCCCCCTTATTGCGTCTGAAATGTGGAGCAAAAAAATTTTTGCGTTGACATTTTCATTAGTTGTGACTTTTTGTGCTAGATGGTGAAAATTTTGTGATTTTTCTGTTAAAAAACATAATTATGTAACGTTGACAAACATCATAGTTATATGCCACTTGTGATTAAACCAAATAAACTTTATCTTGCACAACTTTCTACGGAGTTCTCTAAATTCTTATATCTTTTCTTTCTAAGCTATTCACTTGTCCACCCTACTCCAAAACATTTAAACAAAAAAAATGAAAAAAAAGTAGGAAATAAAGGCTTCTGCTATTGATATTGTTGGATTTCTGGAGTGGTTGAACCATGACCATAAAGTGATCTAGTTTTGGATGCAGGTGGGACATTTTATGGAGTTGATCATATCTCTCGTGACACTGATAGGGAGTTACACCAAGATAGAAAAAGACTAAAGATATTTGAATTAAAGATGAAAGTTGCATTACATTTATTCTATATAGACTATAGCCATCTTTGCTTTAATTACTACTATAGTGCAATCCCATCACTTTTTCTTATCCTTTAATTTTACCCACAACCAAATATTTATCATCATGAATCATGTTGCGTTCCCTTTCTCCAACGTTCTTATATTTATTTAAAGCCATATATACCCTATTGCCAAAAATAACTTCTTACTAGAGTTTCCATTTTGCTACCCATCCAAGATCAAATAAGTCCAAAATCAGGTCATAAAAAATTGATCCTTTTTTTTTTTTACTATAAAAGTTTGCAATTTTAATTTATTGAGTAAACATTTTATGATCTTTTAAAGAATCTTTGTACTATAGTTCAGAAGAGGAAATGGAAGCAGAAGCAACGCCAAACAAGGATATGAAGGTGGAGATTAATTCATCGCCGGAGACTCCGTCAGAAAATATATCGCCGACACTGGAGAATTTTCCGATGACGGGAGGATTAGCAAGGCAAGGAAGTATGACGAAGAACAGTTGTCTTTGCTCTCCAACGATCCATGCAGGTTTTTTTTTCTCTTAAAAGAATTCTATTGAATTGGGGGAAAATAAATTAAATTCAAATTTATTCTTTCGGAAATTTGAGCGAGTACCATATTAGACTATATGCTTTGATGGTAACGCAGGTTCATTCAGGTGCAGGCTTCATCGTGCTCCGACTTCTAATCCAAGTCTCCAGAGGACTAAAAATATTGAATCAAATCCTAAGGCTAATCCCAATGCTTATATAACTAGCTAGCAATGGTATTTCTATAGTTCTATCGGAGTCATACTAAGAAGTACTGGATTATCATAATACTAGTATTATTGTTGAATTTGTGGCCCAATTGTTTTTTTTTTTTTTTATGTATGTTTAATGTTGGTTGTATTTCTTATTTGTTGATCTGTTATTTGTGGTTTCACTCAGATATAGACACTGTAAAGATTCGAGTTCATAGAATTAATGAAATGGCTTGGAGTATGCATGTAAATGTAGAGAGCTTTTTCGTGTATTGAAGATATTAAGGGAAATTTATAGACAGTCTAATGCATGTTTTGGGCAGATAGATATTTTTGACATTTGATATAGAAAAGGATAAATATATCCTAATAATATGTCATTAGGGTTTAGTGTGATTCCATAAAATGAATGATATATATTATTACAAAAAGAACAAGAATTAGCTATGAATTCTGTTGTTACTAAATTGCCGGTAACTAACATGAATTTTTGATAATTCGTTACTAATTCGTAGTAAAAAGAATTAGCAACAAATATTTACCATTTACCGATCGAATTTGTCCATAGTTAATTTCTATCTTTTACGCATGAATGCGCGCATGACTAATTTCTTGGAGGGTTGAAATTGTATAGAAACATATTATACGGCCGTTGAATGTATAAATAGAGGGGTTAGCTAGGATCTGTGTCAATCTGTAAGAAAACTTATCTTTGTATAAATTATGGCGGTATTTGGATCATGTGTTTCAACTATTTTACTTGGTCTTCCATCCTCTACCTGTATAGGTGTGCAACTAAATTCGGTGAAATCATCTAAATTTCGGTCTTCCATGATCTTCTTTCCAACTTCATCGCTAGGTCATGTCCGCTCTTGAATATTACACAAATTTTATATTATATGAAAATTCAAAAAAATTATAATACGCAAAGTTGGTGTGTGTGAGTGGGGGCAGGAAAAATTGTTGTGGGGTTGAAAAATAGAGATGTCAATTGGGTGGCCCAGCTCAATTAGCCCACGCGAACTTTGGCATTCGAACCCAACCCTAATACACCACGAGCCCCACGGCCGGCCGACCTTTAAAAAAATATGTTCTCATACTTTTCTTATAAGAATACCAAAAAAATTACAGTAGCATTTACAAGTCAAAAAATATCTTTTTGGACAGTATGCTTCTCAAAAACTTAATAACTATTAAATTTTTTTCAATAGATTACGATAAAATACTAAAAAAAAGTGCAACATTTCATTCATTAAAGGTAAAAACTCAAAACACGATATATTTAAGAAAACTTCCATGACACGTATGACATATCCGCGCCAATACACCATCTTTATCAAGCACATTCGAATTCGCATGTAATAAGATTGACTTAACATCTTTATTTTACATAAACATCTATATTTTTAATTAAATATTTTTTTATTATGCCCAAGGGGGAACCCAGCCCAGTCTCTATCAAGCCTCATAAGTTGCGGACTTACTTGAACCGAGCTAAAATTGTGTAATTTCTTTACACCAGACTTATTTATAAGGTAATCATAGATGGATTTATACTTTAAGCATTAAATAATAATTTAACAAAATAATAACTAACGTATTGTAACATGTTAAAATGTACTAATAATGTAAAACAAATTACAACTTAAATCCATGTAAATATAGTAATTTCCAACTGCTAAAGAAAAAAGAAGAGAACAAAGAAGGGAATATAAAATAGTCTGCTCAATGGTCCAATTGTCCACCACAATGGAAAATCTTGAAAGCTAGCATGCAATCTTGTTATCTCAATGCAACCCTACATCACAATTACTAACAAGAATTAATTTAATTAGTGTAGCCTCAAGAAGGGGCAACTTTTGATTTTATGCTAAATTATTTGTACGATTTTGCAAAATCTGACATATCCTCTGGTCATTGCATTATATTTGCAGTTACAACATTTCGTGCAAACCCAAACAAAACACTATGAATATGTAATGTCAGTAAAATCAAACTCCCAAATAATATGTCATGCTTGTTTGGCAATTACGTGGAGCAATAATAGTAACAAAATGTGAAATTCCAGAAACAATTGGGCAGCCTTAATTCTCAAGCAATTTAACTTTATATGCTTGTGGATACAAATAATTGACATACACCACATGATGCAAATAACGAAGATTACAAATGTCGAACGCATAGGTCTCTAAGATTAATACTGTAGCAGATTGTACCAAAAAACTAACATAATTATTACAATAAGAAAGAATCGTATCATCTTCTGCTATTAAATTGAGCCTTATTAGCTGTTAGTGCACAAATTACAAATGATAACGAAACAAAACAAACTTCACCTTATTGTCAGTAGAACAATTATATCAGGAAAAACGAATTAAATAAGATGACAGCAACTTGGATGGCTATTTCAACCTAATTAATACAACTTGGAAAAAATTTCAATAGAAAATTATAACACTGTATACTCCTTTTTCAAATTTAATGAAAATAACTATCTAAATTTCTTGAGTTGAGGCCCTAGAAAACTAAGGTAAGGGAAGAATTCGGGGATTGTATTATGATCTTATGAATTTAAAGATCTCAAAATTAAAAAATGAGTTTCGCTCCTCAACTTACTTTTTGTGAGCTTTTTCATAATAATCCCTTTTTTCTATAAGAAAATTTTGCTAAGTAAAAATCTAGGTGCCAAGATTCATGGAACAAACTCAAACTAGGTTTTTTATGGAAGACATGTTCACCAACTAATGCAAGGATTGAAATTTATCCAATCTTCCAATACTAGATACTACCAATTATATTAGTCCCAAAATTAATATCAGCTGTTTAATTCTTCCAATCTATCCAAGACTTGGTGGATATAGTTACTTGGTGTATGGAATTAGTCGAGTTGGGTGCAAGCTGGCCCGGACACCACCGTTATAAAAAAAAATTATATTAGTCCCAACATTTGGGATGCTTTCATTGCAGAAACTTCATATCTAACTTGTAGCTCATAAATTGATGGATTGTGTACATTAAAATCCATCAAAGTAAACCCTTTCTTTGAATTCCATCCAACCCATATTTTCCCTTCTAATTGTAACATTTTTGTACTTTTATTAGCTTAGGCTACAGTTTACAGCAATACTTAACATAGAGATTTCTCTATTTTCTAAAGACTACAAATTGTTCTCGCAAAACTAAAAATCATAAAAAAGGAAAAATAAATATTTTTGATGCCATAAAAATGATAACAGAGCATATGGAGTATATGTTATCAGTTCTTTTGACTAGCAGCTGATCTATTATTTGACCATAACTTACTGAACATTCTTTTAGGTCGATTTGGAATGACACATAATGCTTTAATCCTTGAAGATTTCCCAATTTGATCCAAATCATCATCATCATCATCTTCAGCTAACTTCATTTTTAGAGTTGAAAGGTTGGAGTTTGGTGATTTTAGGGCTGAGGCAGTAGTCCACTGGTCATCAACTGGTGTCTTATTAAAAGTTGCTGAAGTCTTGGCTGTGTCCTCTAGAAGTGCCTTGATGTTGCTAGGCAATTCCGTTACATGGCCACCGGACATGGCTGCTCGAGCTTGCTCGAAAAATAGAACTTGAACAACTACCCTTAGTGGAAGTAATTCATTTTGTGCTGCATGCATACAAACTTCCATTGATAGTTTCTTGCAGTCCAACATTCTGCACAGCCTCTTTCTTTCACTCTTGTTCAGCTCCGGATGCCCCTGCATTTTCGTTAGCGTCTAAGTTCTATGCACTGGCATTTTTTGTTATAACAAGTATGTCTACACATGGATGTAACATTTTTGGTTACTTTAATTAAAATGAAAATCCCAACAGTAGATAGTGGTCTAGTTGAAGATGTTATGAGAAATTTTACCTTGAGATAGATGTCAATGGCTCTGTAAAGATCATCATGGTCAAGCCTAGCAAACTCTGGAATTGCTTCAGCAATGGAAATGAATTTTGACAATGGCAAATTTGAGTCACTGGAAATTTCTTGAAGATACCTATCCACAAGCTTAGCTACCTTGAGTTTTGAGCTATGTGATGCTGAAGAAGATCTTCTACTTTCTTGGAACTCAAGGTCAATATTCTCCGCGGACCGAGATCTTCTCCTCTCAAAATCTCCTTTCCTTCTTAGTGGACTTGTTGGGGGACTTTGTCCTTGCAACATGAACTGTTCTAATATGGTGATAACTATGTCCACATCATGAATTGTGTCACATGTGTGTGACAGACAAGGTATTAACAGATCATTGACAGTGGCATCTTCCAATTGAAGCCCAATCCTTCTTGCCAATTCCATCTTGGATGAAGAAGAAGCCTTCAATATGTTAGCTGCTTTAAGCAATTTCAACAAGAAACTACAAGAAACTGCCCCCCTTTCAGCTGGTAACAATGTTATAATTGACTCCAACAGCAGCCTGTATTTTCCAATCGAATCTGAGTCTTTCTGATCATATTCTAGCTGCTTCTTAGGATTTGCATATTTTGAAATGTTTGGTAGCCATCTTGATGCATAAATTCGCAATGCATCACCGATAACATTAGCAGCTACTTTCCCACCAGATTTGATAGCTATCATACTTCTCCAATAAAGGTCTATGCTTAATTCTGCTAACTCTTCAGCCCACCAACTTTTAGATGAAGTTTTATTATGCCTTCTGCTTTCTGATTCATTGCATGAAACATCATCTCTTCTTGAGTAGCTTCTTGATAAATTCACCTTTGATGGATGAGCTAAGACTTTTGAAGCAATGGCTTCAATACATCTGCTTGTAATTCCTAAGTCCTCAGACCATAAAGGAAAAGACTTGGTACTTTGCAATGTAACAATTGAGTCTTTCCAACCTGAAAGTATGCAAGAATTGAAGAATACATCAAGTTTGTAGATTAAGTTTCCTTTCTCTACATCCTCTGTCATCTGCAGGTATTCTGCAGCACAGCGCGCCGCAACAATGTTGTAGGCACTGAGGGTGATAGTGATACCATAGCAGAATTTTGCACATAGCTCAAATGCTTCAATTCCACCAGGAAAATCTGGTAGCTGCACAATTTGGTGCTGTGAGGTTTCTGGACTTTCAGAGCATAACTTCTGTAGCCTTGAGCACTTAGACAGCAGGGGAAACTGTTTCACAAATTCCATAACCAAATCAACAAATTAATGTTAGTTTAACAATTTTGTTCATTATTTCAACTTCAACTTGAAATAGAAAATTTGACGTTGAAAAAAGTGAAAAATGGTCTTCACTCGCAAAACTTCACTTCTTATTCATGTCCAGACACAATT